GATGGCCAAAAAATCTGGCCACAAGCAAGTTCTTTTCATTTACAAAAGTGGAATTCATGCTGTTTAAGGAATGTACTGTGTTTCTCTAATCCCGGGCCTAAGTCAGATGCAGCAAGTGAAAGACATTTTCTTCTTTCAGAAAGAAGTTATTGTATTCATATAATCACAATATGCTTTTGTGATGACTCTCTCTAGCAAAATTATGTGCCTTCGCTAAGCACCTTGTGCTGTTTAAAGTGTGGAGTTATTTTTGCTAGCGTACATCCTGAAGTAGTTATTATTGCCATCATACCGAAGCATTCAAACTGAAAGATTATTTCAGAAAGAGATTTATTTTAATGTAAAGTCCAGATCCTACATTCCATTCATGCCTCATGCTTACTGAAGCTAATGGGACTTAAGGAATGACTCTTGAAGAACAGGCCTAAATAAGTCTTTCCTGCTACCAAACTAGGGTGTATTATGAAGCATGGAAATAGGATCTTCCATCCACTTACTCAGACTATTTAACTCAAATACTGTGTTCAGTGTCTGAGTATCAATAAGCAATCAATTCTCTTCTGTGTAATAAAGCCAGTTCAGTAACAGTTTGCAACACCGCCTCTTATTACAGCTGTTGTACAGGGTAGAGGTCTGATAAATTCTATCCAGAGGGATGATATAAAACCAAGAGCTTCAGCCCTGATGTCATCATTGTGGTCTTTCACTGGCTTCCTAGAGGCACATCTGTGAATGACACTGAGGAATACATCTTCTTCTTAGTAATGGAAGGACTATCTTTGAATGTCAAGAGACATCGCCACACGTTCTGGAAATCCTAAGGTACATTGCAATAAATTGCTAGATGGCCTCTGCAGCCTGATATTCATAAAGGACAAATTCCCTGTCATTCAGAAAACAATAACAAGATCTGTTAAAGGGCCTTACAGATAGGACTGAACAACTTGATTTAACTTCAGAGTTCTACTTTGAGCAGATGGTTGGACCAGCTGACATCCAGAGGTCCCTTCCAACTATTTAACTCATTCTGTGATCCTGTTCTATTTTGCACTTTTTAGAGAGAGTAAAATGGTTCAAATTCAAAAGCAAATCAATTTCTCAGCTAATTAAGGGACCGATGAAAGTAAAGTAATAATCTAAAACAACCTTAGGAACACGTCTGTGTTTCTTAAGTGTTCTGAGACTGTAAGAAATCCACACAAGCCTTTCTTTCTGTTTGTTTCTGTAATCTGTGATGCTACAGTGTTGGGAGGCAGTACAAAACTCTTCTATAGAGCCATCTTGGTTTTGGACAGAATTAAAGAAAAAAAAATCTCAGGTCTAAGTAAAATGGTAGGGCCACCGAATTCAGGAATACAACAAAAAATTCTGAGCAGCTATTACTATAGAAAATGAGTAACATTCTTACAAAGTGAAAGACTGCTGGTTTAGTAGTTGTTGAAGTTTTTATTAGAGATAAACCGCACTCTGTATCAACATATCATATTGGTTTTAAATGTCTTCGCCTTAAAAAAATCCAAATTCTAAATAATGCATTTATTTCATCGCCACTGCAACCATCACCTATTAGGACCATGAAATCCACCACAGAAAGTATAAAAAACCTTGAAAATCAAATCAGACAAAGCAAAGATTGCTACAAACAATTGCAATTTTGCTTAATTTACAAATGTCCAACATATTCAAGCTTGAGATTGGTATTTCTTGAATTATTTTTTATGTCATGGAAACCCTTATCATTATCAATATACTTATTTCACATGGTTTCATGATTTTTTTTTTAATTTTTATTTGTTTTAAAGTCACACATCCTAACTTAGGACTATAGAATGGCTGTGTTCCTGTACCAAAAAAAGTGTTGTTTTTAATAGCGAACTACAAAATACTGGGAACATTAGAGCAATCAACAGGGACTCCTGCTTTCAGCCACCACGTAGAAGACAAAAAGGTCAATTCCCTGTCAGGAAGGATTTGAACTCTGATTGCCTATCTGCAATGAAAATAGCCTAGACGCTAAGCTATGGAGTAGGCTGAGGGAAATTCTCTCTCGGTATTTCCTATTATAGTTGCTGCACTCTTATATACCTCCTACAACTCCCTAAATACGACTTGAGACAGCAGAGTTCATAAAGGAGAAAGAGGTGTGGGTGCAGTTCCCAACACAGCTGGCTCCAGTAACTGCTGTCTTTCATAAAGGCAAGACACAGCCAGTACGCTTCTCCTGCTGTGTTCCTTGCACAGTGAAAAAGACTTGCTCTGCAGTAAATTGTCACTAGTTAATTTAAGTCAGTACCTCACCCATGTACTATGTAACCTCCAAACTCCTGCAAGAGCTTATAGAAGCTGCTAGTTTCTCACGAGCAGGTAACTGGTTATATTTCAGTTCCACATGAGGCAATGGCTCCTGCTGAGTTATTACATATGTTGTCACTCAGAACACAGATATTTTCTTTTTAAAAAAGAAAAGAAAAAAGTAAATATGACAAACTGCCATATTCTGCTCCTTGTTTCAGACCTTTGCTATCACTGTTCATTACATGAGAAAAATGAAGGCAACTTCCACTGCATGGCTGGGGCATATACCCAAACACCCCAGTGCATGGGACAGAGCTTGCTCCCACCACACGACCACAATGGACCTCTGGGTGTCCACCTTGTGTAAGTGGATGTACACAGATTCACACAAGATGAGTCAGCTGTACAGTCGGCAATTCAGGAACTCAACTGGTCCATCCCTGGCACATGGTGACAGTATGCAAATCCATGTCATTTCTAACATATCCTTGCCATATCTTTATTTGAAGATCTCCAAGTGTGGAGATGACATCACTTCCAAACATTTCCAAGTTATAAAATAATCCCTGACTTCATTTAAACTTAATTACCTCTTGTCTCAGCTACTATGAGAATGCTGACTACCTTATTTCTTTTTACAGGCATTTATAAATTTTACTACAAATTATGGGTATGTAACGGTGTGGAATTCAGCTCCAGATTTGTCAGCATTTAAGTAACTAGGTTGTAACATCTACTTACAAGCTCAATATTTAAGTTACCATTATAATTAGTGGACACCTAGTTCAAGATATCTACTTAGGAACAAGATGAATATTGCTGTACTGGTCATGATTTTTCCTCCATTAATAGTAACAGTGAATTTGGAAAACTACTTGAAAGTGAATTTCACTAACGGTGCTGGCATGTGGGAGACATTATAGTCTCCTCATCTTTGAATCCTGTCCCTTAATTTTTCCAGTTCAAACTGCTCAGAGTTGAACCTCATCTCACGGAGAGATGTTAGGCATCTCTAAACCTTCTAAAAATTAATTGTCTAGGCTCCCTTCTGTACTCAGTAAGGAAGAGAGGCATCTCCAGATTATGATTCAGCTTCTGTGTGGGATGAATTTCTTCAGAAGTCACCTGCTTTTCTTTTTTGACTATAAAAGGAGCTTGGACATTGACTTGACATCTCACTTCCAGAAGGCTAAAGCTTAAAGTGATCAGTCCCAAGCTCGGAACATATAAATCTCACTTTGGATAACCAAAGTGTAACCTAGCTATTGTTAGGTAAACTTAGTATTCACAATTAAAAATTTCTCAACTTTTACTTAAACTTGAAACTATTCCAGCTTTCCATGAAGTTAGGCAAAAATGAAATATAATGGGAAAAGCTAAAAAAAAAAAAATAAGCTAGCATAGCCAAGAGAGGGACAAACACTGAAAATGTGTATGTAGTCAGGCTGAGCCAAAGCTTGCAGATTTTATGGAGGAATAAGCATTTGATTTGAAAGTATTTGATATAGCAGGTCTAGAAGGGTAACCATTCAAACAGGCAGGCAAAAGATACCTCTCAATCCACACCATCCTGTGTGGATAATAGATTCTTATGTTGCATAGCATAATTGAATACTCATACAGCCTTTCCTCATTCAGGGTGGTGCTGCATACACCTAAACCCAAAAGAACTTAAATATTTCTAAAACTCTTTGAAAAACTCCAGAAGAAAAGGTGATTATCTATTTTGTAGCCCTTTATTTCAAACACAAAAACTGAATGGATTTTATACATGTGCGACTGCTACACATGTAATTTCTCCAAGTTGCAACGCTAACAGAGTTAGCGCAATTTCAAACAACAGCATATCTACCTGTTATGGCTAAGCTGGAGCAATGTGTACCAACCTATATGCACCTAGAGGGCAAGAAAGGAAAATCCCTTTTTTGATTTCAGAATCTGATTAGACACTTAACATTTATGGCATTTTCCTTCAGACTGGAAGACTTAATATAAAATTGTTGTTAAGAGTTTTCTGAAAAACAGAAGGGTGCATGCAGCCTAGCTGAAAACCAACTTAAAGATTTTTCCAGTGGTTGTGGCCAACTGTTCATCTTGTTCTAAATCAAGGTGACTGATAAAGTTTGGCATAAAGCCTATTGGGGCCTTAACATGAGCCAGTATAACTACAGTTTAGTTTTTGTGACACCACTGCATGATACCCATATACATTCATTTCCTGACTCAGTTCTCAACTGACAAAGTCCAACAAATGATACTTGCAGTGGCATCAAAAGAAAATCTGCCTGGGAACTGTACGTGCTTGAGACGCTCCAACTGCTCTCCAAGAGACAACATTCATAGCCACAAAAGCTCTGTTGAACATAAAGCCAAATTCTGTTTTCCTATTTAAAACTTTACAGAAGCAATTTCCAGCAAACTAAAAATTATCTCGGCTCTGGGAAGATTCAGTGTCCCTAGATGACTGACTGACTAATTTCTGGATAGCTGTTTCATGTAATTTCCCTATCCCAGACATGTACACATCCATAACATAAAGAGGAGAGGCAATGTTTCACTCTCACTTGAAGGTGAGGGGATGGGTGTAGAATTTAACTTCCAATGATTGTACATGGTTCATTATATTATATCAGTGTTCTACAACTCTGAGGCAGATGATGGGAGTTCCTCCTTAGAAAATATAGCAAAATAAAAATTTGACAAACCTGTCTTCTTCCAGTAGACTTTGACCTGAAGTTGATTGTCCTGATAGAAAGGAGTTCCAATTTTAAGAAAACGAGTGGGTTTTCTTCTTTGAAATGTTGGGTAAGGATCTACCAGTCCTTTCTGTGGTTTCCCAGCAGAAGATGTCTGTTCCTCTGCAATACACAGAACAATCAGTAATTATTTATTTAAGTACAGTGCCTTATAATGACTATGTTAACAGTGCTGAAATTCAGAAAATAATACTATCTTTAATCCAAAAGATCTTATTTCAATATCTTACCTAAATGAAATTACTATAAAGAACAAACTGTCCATAATGGTTGAAAAGCATATCACTTGTTTGAAATTCAGTAAAAAAAATATTTTGGACAGAGAGAGAAAAAGATAAATACATTTTAATATGAAGATACTCTGTAAATTTTCAAAATAACAATAAGGGAAGGGAGTGTATTTATGTCCCCAGGAACAAGAAATGTTCATACACTGACTTTTTAAACAGGTGTAGTACCTAGCAATAGTTCTGTATAATCATTCATGGTCTTTGTATTTGTGCAGTGTTTGAATATACACAAAACCCAAGGATGGCATTGAGTGTAATCCACAGAGTGCCACATGTGGTTATTATATCAAAGTAAGTATAGTCCTTTGGTATGCTATATAAGAACACTCTGGTCAGATTAAGGATATTTCTTGCCCACATTTCTTGCCCACTTTCCTGTTTCCAACAGTGCACAGTGAATGCTTAGGAAAACATTGTAAGAGCAGAATTAACTTTGAGTGATTCCCTTGGTGTTATGTGCCTAGCTTCCAACTAGCAATGGTAAGGGGATGTCCTTCACCAAGCATTTAGTTTGGCAAGAGTTCATCAACATTTAGCAGGGTTGACAGTATTTCTAGATATTTTCAGTTGAAAAGCCAGCAATGCTGATTCAAACTGCATTTTCATGGCACACTTGCAAATACATCAGTTCAGATTAAGAGGACAATATTTGCATCGGATTAACAAAAAAAGCTGTATTTGATTCAGTAATACACCTAAATGAAAAGTAAAGATTCT